GGAGCGCGGCCCCCGAGAGGAGCGCGGCCCCGGGTACAATGCAGGGCGGCGCAGCCACCGGAGGAAGGCGGAGGTCTGAGGGGAACAAGGCTGTACCCAGCGGACGGGCCGTTCCTACCCAGCTCTAACCTAACCCAGGAACGCGGCTCGGCGCTGGGACGTGCCCTGACCCGGGGCAGAGGGCTGAGACACCGCGGTGCGCCACTGGCCTTCGGTACCAGCATTTCCTCCCGCGCCAGCCAAGCCAAGCACCTGCTAAACAGCCGGACTGGGGCGCAGGATCTCCCTCCGCGCTGCGCCGGTCTGTCAGCGGTTGTAGTGACCCAGTCACCCTTACCAGCGCTAACCAACTCCAGATGACACCGCGGCCCTTCCCCTCTGGAGCAGGAGCTGGCCGTCAACGCCCATGGCTTGAAAGAGCACTGCTCTTCCCAACAAAAGGTGTTTTTCTGCTAGGACACTGCACTGAATGCCATTCCCAGCTCCCCTTCTTGATTGAAAGATGCGTTTACACAGTTTTCTGTGTGTTCACAAAGAGCAAGACTTAAAGAAGTTTCTCTTTAGTCTGTATTTACCTATTCAACAGTTACAATAAACACTGAAGAGTTCATTTTAAAACAGTAAACTTTTAAAATGCATTAACACAGGTTTTAGCTTTTTAAAGAAAAAAGTTCAGTTTTAAACGAGGAGGGAGAGGTCATAGAAAAGCACAAACAATCAGACAGGCTTATTTACAGAGACAAACCTAACATATTCAAGGTGATTTTGTACAGACAACAACATTCATAAAACCAAACATGCTACATGGCTCCATGACAACAGCAGTTTTTAGAACAATCAGCTGTTAAGGTAGCACACACCTTAACTTATTTTCTACAGTCTCAGTGCAATGAGTTGAAGTTTACGCTACAGCTAAATAACTAAACTACCAATTTATATAATCCAGACCTCTATTCAACAGATCATCTGGTCTATGCAGCCAAAAAAAAAGGAAACAGATTGAGTGAGACATTAGGATCACCTTCTGCAGCGATTTTGGGTTGCACCCTCAGCTATCATCATTCTATTCAGCTAATTGTCCTCCTGCCACAAGGATCAGTAGTAACAAGCCTCCCAGAAGCTTATGCTTCCAGAACTGCTTTTCAGACTTGCTGTAGCTACAAATTAACGATCAGTGAAACTAACAGTCACAGAAATGCTATCATGCACTACAATTCTGCGGTTTCTGGAGTCGGGGTATTTATTCACAGGGCCTCTTAATTTGGTGAAGACACTGAAGCTCCGTACATCAATGGTCAGGATCTTTCGTGTAAGATCACCGCAGGCTGCGGAACCCTAGTCAGCACAGCAAGAGAGACAAGCCCACAGCAGTTGCTAGAGTGACATTTTCACTTCATCAGGGAGCCAATAAAAAAAAGCCAGTGAGCAATACAACTTCTATTATCTTAATTATACATTAATTCTCAAAACTGTTCCCACAGAAACCTTTTACAGGAGCGAACAGCAGTTAAGTCTTCATTCATTTTTCTTTTCCTTGTGCTTGAGAAGTTTGTTTATCTCCCTTTTTGCCATTCCAACATACTTTGTAATGATCCCATGCTGGTTCAGTCCAGGAAACAGCAACAAGAAACTTACTAAAGAGGAGGGGAAAAAAAAGGGAATTACTTAATACTCTTTTAACAAGGTTCTGGCACTTCGCAATCCCTTGCTTCCCTTAAATCCCATTAACTGCTTGAAAACAGACAAATAAAGCGCTGTGACAAAAAAACAAACCACAAAAAACCACCCCACAAAAAAACCCCACCAAAAACCACAATCACCACACTCAAGTAATGAAAACTCACTTCTACCAGGCTCATACCATTTTAGGCAGCTAACAAAAAGCTACCAGTTCTGCATGCTGTGCACTCACCAATAAGATAGGTCAGAAAGAGATTGTGAACCTGCTGTCCGATCCAGGCAACCACAGCAAGAGAAAAAAGCATGGTCATGAAGTACTGAAAAATAAAAAGGGAACAGTTATCACAGATCTGTTGGGAATTCTCCCTCTTCCCTTCAGTATCCAGCAACACTTCAACATTTAAACCTAACTTGAAGTTTGCTGGCTCTTCCACATGCAATACCTATGCACAGTGCACAGGCTTGTTAAAATTGAGATTATGGAGTCTACAACTGTCTGTTTTCATTTATTTTCAGACCATCAGTTTTACATCTTTCTTGTCCAGATATCCCCACAGACACAACTTCAGCCTCACGCAGTACTCAAAGCTGGTTTTGGGACAGCAGACTCAGTCGTTCACATCCCCACGCTGACACATTACTAAGATACAGGGTTTTGGACAGTTTGTGTACGCTGGAAACACGCTGCGTTCCCAAAAACTGACCTATCCAAAGAAACCCAGTTTAGCTTTATCTTCATATCAAGGGTATGCTCCCAACTGGACGGCATTGAAAGTTTAAAGTCACATATCTTGCCACTCACGGTTTGAATAAAATGTGTGCCTGGCAGTAAGTCAGATCTGCTGGATCTTCGTTTGAAATACCAGCTTATTCAGACATGTGCCTTGCTAAAATACTTAATATAAAACAAGACAAAGAAAAATCTTAAGACAACAGAGATGAACTCCCGGATCTCAATACCATTTTAGGCTTCTCTTCCTTCAGTGTGAAGAGACGCTTCCACCAGCCAACAATTCGGCGACGAGATTTTACCAGATTGCTGCAAATCTCATGAAATCTTTGCTGCTGTTCCGTAGTCCTTTAATAAAAGAAAAAAGCCAGAAATAAGAATTCAAGATTTCATCTGAAATTTAAAAATATCTCCCATAGTATTCTTCCAGCAGTAAAAGCTTACCCAGTATTTATCCTGGCATTTGCTTCCCCTTACCTTGATCAAGCGTTGTAATGCAATCCCCCATGTAATTTCCCTGTACACCAACTCTCTCAAACTGACCCCCAGAGAACAACCACAGTCAAGCCAGGAGACCATGGATTTTAATCTGACACCGGTGTGATACACTCTGGTGTTGGGTGTGTATTACTGTCATGTATTACTTTGGCTTTTATGTTGGCTCATTATTAGACAAGAACTTTTATCTACTAGTCAACTTAAAGCAAATACACTAGAATTTACTTTTAGTTCAATTTTTTTTTCAAATAAGGTTCTTCTCCAGTTTACTGTTTTATATATATAAGCCTTGCCCATCTTCAAATCTCCTTCAATCACTTACAATCACATTCATACTCCATGCATTACTCTTTTCCTTCATTGTATTTACTACTGCCACTCTTTTTTTTTTCCAAACATATAATGCAATACCCTTCTTCATAATTTTAGTTCTCTGTGTCAATTACCCATTAATTACTAAAAACTAGTTTAGCAGAACTAACTAGCATCCTTAATGGAGAGCAAAGAATGTGCCTACTCCTTCAAAAGAACTTATTTTGCTAGAAGGAACAATAAAGGTACATTGTAGTAACAACCTTTCATAAAAAGAATAGTGAAGGACACCTTGCTAGCATCCTCACTTCATTTATCATAGAGCTTGCTGATTTCTTACAACAATGACCTTATATAGTAATTGTTTGATATTTAAGTCAGATATCCATTTTGATAGAGTTCTGAATTCATTTATACTTAAACTGCTGGAATTGAAGTTTTCCTCACCATTTATTAGAGCCAAAGATTCTTGGTGCAAGAGCAGGAACAAGATAATCAGCCAAACAGAGGAACATAACAAAACAGGAGACACCTGAAAGAACTGACGGGTCCAAGTAGTAGATCATCCTGCAGAAAGAAGATCACAGAAGTGATTTCTGGGTGCTCAGACTGCTAAATACTAAACAAATACTTCTGCTAAATACTAGACATGTTTAGTCACCTCTTCAGATCAGCTCAGGACTTCAAAGAGTAGACCTACCCTCCTCCCCAACCTCAAAAAAACCCTCAAATTTGCTCCTATTACTAAGAAAAAGAGTTTAAGTACTTCAACACTATTACAGAAAAGTACAGATAAAAACAAAATACAGTTTCCTTAATGTCCTAGATAAGGAAATGCTACAATACAGTAAGCAGAGCATGAAGTTCAGCAGAAGTAAAAAATCATCATTATTGCTCTCCTAACTTAACACTGACCAGGGGATGAGGATGAGCAAGTGAACATATGAAATAACCAAGTAGAGTGAAAGCTCAAATCCTATTGTTTCTGAAGTCAATCACAGAACGCAGATCTACTACTACAGGTTGTCATTTGCTGTGTCTCACCTGTCAGAGCTAGCCAAACCTGTTCTGGACAAGGAGCCACGAATCTCCAATTAGGACAGTGTTGTGCTTTTACCTACTAAGTGTGCCACTGCGCAAGCGCAGCAGTATGGGTACTGGACAGGAACTAGCTCCTCTAAGTGTCTGTTAATGCTCAGCTGTGCCCTGTGCTACTTATTTGCACGTAACAGAACTTCCTGAATATTGAAGTAGAGAAATAACGCAGTCCATCGCAAGGCCGGTCTTTCCATGCATCTGGCACAGGGCTACTGCACTGAATGTTCACGTTCATTTTTGATGAAGTACCAATTTAGGATCTGAACTAGTTCTGTTTCCTCAAAGTATTTTCAACACAAGATCTTTCCTACTATCATCACAGAATTTATAACAGAATACCCTGAAGTTCATTAGATTACTTCTTTTAAAAGAAGTTACTTTTCAGTTTCATTTGATATCCATCCTCCTCACCTCCCTTGAAGACCATAAAATTTGTATTAGCCAGAAGACAGATTATCCCTGCTTCACCTGGTTCATCATTTATTTTTTTAACTCCCCTCTTCTTACTCCAAAAACACATGCAACTGGCAAACTCCACAGCTGGTGTGGACACTTCTCTGTACAAAGTAGGTCAGGATCATCTTGACTACTACCTCGTTACGTAAAAACACATACAAGAGCCTCAGCAAGCCTGTTCTGTATCTCCAATCCAGAGACAAGCAACATTCATCCCATTGACTGAAAGTTACCTGCAATCTTTCCTTTTCCTCCCTTCTCAAAGTGCTAAGGAAGTTTCTTCACCCTAGGTCCCTAGGCTTCCCACAGCAGTTTCAGGCTCTAAATCCCATGAGATAATTTACTTGGCTGGTACAGCAGTTTTAACAGCTTGAGCCAGGTGCCTCCACAGAGGGACCCTGAACAAAAATTCCTGGGCAATTACACCCTTACACAATCTAAGTTCCCTTCCCCTCACACAGCAGTTCAGACCAATAGTAACATTAGGGTTGGGGTCTTCACATCCTCCACAGGGTCTTTTCTTCATCTCTAGGCAGACCGTTTCTTATCTCTAAAGCTGCCGCCTCTGCTGATGGCTGTAGCCTCCTTATCTTCCAGCTTAAACCAGCTCTGAGGCCTTCTCTTACTTCATATCTAGGTGAAAGTTCATTGCTTGTGGTCTACAGTTTTTGCAAATTTAGCCACTTATGCCAAGTGAGTTATGCCAACACTTCTGCTGTGCTGGACAACTAGTATTTCCCAACAAAAGGACAAAGAGTGTAAAAAAACAACTCGTGCAAAAACAATTGAACTCATCCTAAACACCACACCAAAGATGCAGAATAGGAAAGTTTGCCCTAAGGAAACAAGGTTTCCATAATGATATCACTGCTGGTTTAGGGAAAAAAGCCAAAGGAGATGACCAGATCTGCCTAAGAAGCAGGATACAAAGGATGGGGGCAGAATATGAACACGCCAATGAAGAACACGCAGCTGAGCACAGTAAAAAAACCACAGCATTCACTGCTGGCAAACAGCTTTTGCAGAAAGCACTGCCTCCCTCCGAGCAGGATGTGGCTCATGTTACTTCCTGTTCTCAATACTTTTCAACAAAATTCACACACATTCAGAAACAAAACCTGGCGTAAGAGCCTTCCTATGGGATTGTTAAAGATGTCTTGCTAATTTAATGAATAGGTTTGCTACCAGCCAGAAAAGTGCAATGATGTTCTAGGGTCCCTCCACAAGCTACTTACAGAAAAGAAAAGGAAACAACACTCATCAGCGCCAGAGGAAACCAGGCTCTCTCCCAGCGAAGAACTTTATCTGTCATCAAAATCACTTCTCCCCATCCTTGCAGCTGCTCTTCCAAGCTAGCAGTTTCTGCAGCCTACACAAAGAGAGAGAAGAAAACTCTTATTAATAACCAGAGCATCAAATTAATTCCCACACTTAAAGTAGCTAAAAAAAGTGTCGTAATTAAAGACCTCAGTCACAAACCTTTCTGAGTAATTAAATTACAAATAATGTTGTAAGTTTTGCACTAAGATATGACATTGTAGCAGTGATACTACCTTAAAATATTCAGGATCCTAACAACATAGCAGCATATATTATTAGACCAAATGATACCGCCTCACAGATTTTGCCAAGGAGTTTTCCCCCCACCCTCCCATTTACGGTACTCCCTCCCCCCAGGCTACTAGAAAGTCAAGTTTTAAGGTCTAGCTAAAACCTCTCAAGTTTTTAGTGTCGACATCTGGAAAATTGCAACATGAGAACTATTTAAAATATACATATTTTCAAAGACAACACTACTACATTAAACTGAAGCTTTCTAGTTGCTGCCCAACACCAATTTTTTATTATGTGAAAGATGGACAAAAACTCAGAATCCACAGCAAAGGAAAATTACCCAAGTGGCTACATTTGGACTGCAAAGACAGTTTTTCCACAGGTTGCTCAAGACAGTGATCAGGCAGCCTTTAAACTCCTCTTCCTATGTTATTCCTACATTCCTCCCTCCACATCTTCTGCAAGGAGGCTCTGTCTGCCCTGGCACCAGCTGTTACGCAGTTCACCTCCACATTTAACATAGCTTAACAGTTTCCCCTCAGCAGGACGAGGGATCTCAGAGATTACAAAACTCAGGTAACCATGAACAGAACCGATCTCTGCCCATGTAATAAGAGGTAAAAGCCATCAAGACCTGCACATGTGCTGTGCAGAGATAGCAGAGCAGGTTTCGTTCTCCACTGTCTGCTACACTTATTACAAACAAGAAGCCTGACACTACCAGAATAACAAGGACAGCTGAGTGCAGCTACTATGGTAAAGCATAGTTTTATTGTGTGATACCATTGGAAACTATTTGAAAACTACAGTTCAGGACAAAAAAATAAAGTAGAAAACTACCTGACATGCTCCTGGACGCCTTCCAGTTATCATATCTGTTTTACATTACAAAAACAAGCTGTGACATGGCGTAAAAAACCCAAACACCACATTGCTCCAGAAGTCATTTTATGACAAACTGTTTTGCTTTATTACCTCTGGCTGTCTGCATTTAACATCACAACCAAGAGAAAATTTAAGGGGAAACAGCCTGGAATATAACAGGGTTATTAACAGCTGCCTGCCTTTGTCAGGTGAGGACAACTATTCTAAGTTGTTTTCCCACTGGGCCAGGTAGAGAAAAGTCAGCTTTTGCAGAGACCATCTTCATTCCATCAATAGTGTTTGGCCATAATTACGAACTCCTGCTTTGCAAGGGGTACCCCTCCCCAACACCGCAGGTATTTTTGGCAATACAGTTCCGCACACCTCTCCTGCGGGAGCCCGACCCCCCCAGCCCCGCGGTACTGCCTTCCCGGGCCCCCCCGCCGCACGGCTTCCCGCAGCGGGAAACAGCCCCGACCGGTAACGCGCTCAGAACCTTCCCTCCCTCAACACCTTCACCTGCTCTTACAGGTGATTTTCCCATTTTCCACGGCAGCCATTTACCATTACGAAGATAAGCATACATATCCTTGTATTTATTTGATTTTTTTTTAAGTATTCAAG